AATTCGCCGGTAACAAAACGAAAAAGGGCCTGGGACTGAAACTGCGATCGCAAAGCATGCATGGATTGTTTGGCTGGACAGAAATCAAAATGGCGTCCATTGCGAATGATAGTAAGCTCTCAGAAACTAAAGAAGAAGGCTTTATTTTAACTGAAGACGATATACCTGGGGCTGTTTTGCAAAACAGAAATGTAGAGGCATGCAGTGTGGTACAGCTAAAGCGCTGGCTGATTTGTAGGGGAGCGAAAACAAGTGGTAAAAAGTCAGCTTTAGTCAGCAGGTAAAGGGTCAAATTCAGCTTTTTCGTAGCTCTTTCTTTTGCTCACATAAAAACCATTAATATTTCTGATGGAAAACATATTCACTTAAAGATTTTATACATTAAATCGTCTGCTTAGAACTCCATTAACATTATTTAAAATCGTTTTGCATAGGCTAAAACACTATGTAGAAAATGGCCTTGACAAGAAATATCTTAGAGACCCCGACAACGGCGCTAATATTATGAAGAAAAAAGCAGATCTTGGTTTGCTTGATAAGAGAGAGCCTCAAACAAATGGAAAATTTCCAAAAGAAGGTTTCAACTCTGATCTCAATGCTCTCCCTAAAGTGTCATTTGGAACCATCTGGCGTTACATGATCGACTCAGTTGACTCAAAAAAACAACTCTCAACTGCTAAACCTCTTGTAAAGGGGTTCAATTTTTATAAGTCTGGGAACGTACATTCTATTCACCATTTAAAGGAAAGTGGGAAGCACTTTATAAAGAGCCAAGTTCTCCCATCAATGAAAAAGAACTTAATATACCAATGTCAAATAGTAATGTCAAGTATTGGAGGAGTACTCAAAGCATATTGTGGTTGCCCAGCAGGAATAGACGGAAGATGTAATCATGTGTCTGCAACTCTCTTTGCCTTGGCTGAATATTGCAAAGAAAGAGAAAAGATCTCCATAGAATCATGTACTTCTAAACCATGTAAATGGAATATCCCAAGGAAACGAAAAGGTCCTCTATCACCAATCTCAGCCATGTCATTTCATAAACATGACTACAGCAAACAAGTTAAGACTGACAGAACACCAAATATCAAGAAAGGGAAAGATGTTCGAGCTATACATCAGAGAGAGTGGTCAGATGCCAAAGTGAACAATATGTTACAAACTATCAAAGACTATCAAACCAAAAGTGGTAACATTGTTGGCTGGAGTCACATACTGCCACAAGAGGTTAAAGAAGAAGACACCATTGTTTCGCCGCTCAAAGTCCTTCCACCATCCCTAAGGGAAATAAGTGAAAAATGCAAAGAAATTGAGAAAAAGTTGAATCTAGAGGAAAAGGAAATTACCAAAGTTGAGCAAAAGACTAGAGGACAATCAGAGGACAAGCTTTGGAATTATCACAGAAAGTGTAGAATAACAGCTTCGAAATGTTACCGGGTTGCCTCTTTGAAGCCCACTACATCACCAACAAAGGCACTTGCAGATGTCTTACAGTATAATAAACAGTATCAGAGTTTTGCAATGAATCAGGGTTTAGAGAAAGAAGAAGAAATTGAAAGATTATATGTTACATCTAAGCATAACTCAGGCTACAGGAATCTTTCAGTTGAGCCATGTGGGCTTTTTATTAGCCAAAGCCATGGTTTCTTAGCAGCCACCCCTGATGGTCTAGTGTCAGATCCTCATGTTTCCCAACCACTTGGACTTCTTGAAATGAAATTGATACAGTTAAATGACAGTGAGAGTCTTAGACAAGGTCTGCTTCAAAGAAAAATATGTAAGGACTGTGGTGACAACCATCTAAAGATGAACACTGGACATAAGTATTTCTATCAAATACAACAACAGATGTTTGTAACCCAGCGTAAATGGACAGATTTTGTAGTCAAGGGATCAACAGGAAATGAGCTATACATTGAGCGAGTCAACTTCAACTCTGAGTTTTGGGAAAGTGTTCTTCCTAAACTTTGCAATTTCTTTCAACTACAAGTTTTACCAGAGATGTCATATCCTCGAGTCAAATATGGGTTAGCAAGATGTCAGTTGAGATTTGAATAGACTGTGCCTAAATGGATTTAAATGAATTCATTTAGAACAGTGTAAAAGAAAACCTTGCAGTCTTGAATATAAGTTGCACAATTTTAATTATCTTGGACAATATGGGTCTACATGTAGTGTAAC